TGTTCCCCCATGTAAATTATCACACAATAAAAAATTAAAAAATTAAAAAAAAACTAAAAACTTAGGGGTTCTAATACATGGCTTAAATACACTATCAAACACTGTAAACACACACAAACAATAGAAAACAATATAGGTGACTGTGACTTCCTAAAAATTAGAAACATAGGTGCATCAAAAGTTTTCAACAAAAGAGTAAAAAGGGAGCCCATAGATTGGGAAAATTGTAGTGTCTTCAGTGACTACAATTTAGAGAAAATGACACCTCTCCAGAAAAAGGCAAATAACCCAATTTAAAAATGGGCACAGGACATGAACAGACAATTCCCCAAGCAAGACATTCAGGTAGCCAACAAACCTATGAAGAAATGTTCACGATCATTAGCCATTACAGTGATAGCGATCAAATCAACAATGAGATGTCTCACACCAGCATTAGTAGCAAACTTAAAAAAAAACCCAGAAAATAATAAATGCTGGCAAGACTGTAGAGACAGAGATGCTTCTACATTGCTGGTGGGACTGTAAAATGGTTCAACCACTCTGGATAATGGTATTGTGCTTCCTCAAAAAGTTAGAAATAGAAATACCTTATGACCCAGCAATCCCTCTACTTGGTATTTATCCACAAGAAATACAAGCCAGGACACGAATAGATATATGTACACCAATGTTCATCACAGCACTATTCACAATAGCAAAAAGATGGAGACAACCTAAGTGGCCATCAATGGAAGAATAGATAAACAAACTTTGGTACATAAACACAATGGAATACTACACAAACTGGAACAATAACGATGAATTTGCAAAACACCTCATAACGTGTATAAACCTCAAGGACAGTATGCTGAGTGAAATTAGTCAATTACAAAAGGACAAATATTTTATGAGACCATTATTCTAAAAGCTGAATAAAAGGTTCCCATACTAAAACAAAAACAAAAACAAAAAAAACTTTGATGGTTACTAGAGGTGGGAGGGAGGGGAGACCAATTCACTAGATAGAGGGAAGACACATGTTAGCTTGAGTGATAGGGAAGGCAATACAACAGGAAGGGGAGGCCAGTACACAAGTGGGAGGGTGGCATATGAACAATGGAGATAGGGGTAGACTTAGGGAGATATGCACTGGCCAAATGGGATAGAAGTAAATAGTGATTTGTATACAACCTTGGAACAACCGTGTTTTGTGAACAAATACATGGATGGAAACATAGGCTGAATGGGTAAAGGAAGGGAAAAATGTTGATGTGTTTGAATGTCTTGTGGATGCTGGTTTGCCCTGCCTATTATTATTGTAAAATAGACATTTATGTGTGATAGAAATTAATATTGGGAATTATGACTCCAGAAAGGTTGTAAGTCAATCTTTTGCCTATAACTGATTGAATTTGCTAACGAATTTGCCCAGGGAAATAGGCTTCTTGTTAAGCCTTTGTGGGATATGGGGCTTTAGGTCGAATCCTGAACCCTACGGAGAAGCTTCTGAGTTGGGACATTCCCCCTTGAAAAGACATGTAGACCAACCCAGAACTGCTGGGAGAACAGAATATTCTTATTGAAAGAAAGACCTGCAGAAAAAAAGCAGACTGGTTGTTTGAACTTTAGGCATGTTATTTGCTTTGGAGGAAGCAAGGCAAGAAAAGTCAGCTCATCAGGGAAAATCCCCTTCTAGGATTAAAACTTAAAGGAAACCTGTGAGCAGTCTAGTATGCTCACTGGTAACCACCTGTGTCTACTTATGAGTGGAAGTGGGGGAAATGAAGCAATGAAGACACACACTGAGTTTAGCCATGTTCCATAGACATCCATTGAACTTGAGATGAGAGAGAGAAGAGGAAGAGTTGGCTAGTCAGAAGTTTACCCAGAGGTATGAAATCCTGAGCCTATGGCACTGACCTAGCCCCTGGGGGCTAGGTTGAAAGTGAAGTGGCCAACAGGTCTGAAGTGCAGGGAGATGTGTTTGAACAGAGGATTCCAGGACCGTCAAGAAGGAAGAGATTGAGTAGAGCATGAGATCTTACCTAGAAAAGATGTAACAGCAGAGTCCGTGGCAAAGGAGTAGTGTGGAGAGACAGAGCACCTACGGGCTGTAGGCCCATGGACTGAGTAAAGCTGTGTGCCTGTGGGCAGGAGGTTGGCTTAGAATGTACCCTTTGAGCATTTAAATGAATATATATTTATTGGTTTGTATGTATAAATATATTTACTTTCATCATTTGTGAAATATATAAATGGGGAGCCACAGGGAAGAAGCAGGATAACTGTTGTTGCAGGGAGGGGATTGTAATCTTTGAAGTGAAACACAGTGTTTAATTTGCTGACTGCAAAAGTCTGTAAACCTTCACTCAGTTCACAATTAAAAAAATTTTTTTAAATGCAAAAAGAAAGAATGCTTTCTAAACCAGATTGTATTGAGACAAGCTAATCGTCTCTTTATCTTACTGTTTTCTTTGTTTAAGGAAATGATTTGAGTATTGCTGCTGCAGTAGCTTAATGATATTAAAATCAATAAGAATATTACTCTTGAAACAAATGAAATGATTTAAACCTATCTCTAAGAGATCTTATGAAAATATACCTAAGAGGCATAAACTGTATTGTCATCAAATTAATTTATTCTCTAAGTACAAATTTAATTTAAGATGAGCTATTTCTTCAACTGATTCAATCAACAGACTTTCAAGGGATTCTAGACATAGAGAACAGGAAATAAATGTTGGAGCAAATGATTCCCACAATAGTTGTTCCATGTTTTGGTACTTAAGATGCTTCTGGAAAGTATTTCTAACAATTCCTTGAGCAGTTGGCTCTTGTTGATGGGAAGCCAGGGTCATTTCTCTCGGTTTACACCTGCAAACTTTTCTCCAGCTTCATGTCCATAACAAATCTATTTCCAAAATCTGCCGAGTCTTTCCTCTCTAGTGTTTCTCAGAACTGCCTTTCCTCATTTACACAGACACTGGAGCTGGGATAGCATTCCTGGGTTGTTGAAATGGCCTCTTAAGAACACTAATGGGCAGAGGAATCTTTCCGAAATAAAGCTTTTATCAGTCACATGTTATTAAAAGCTTCTGAGACCCCATACTTTATAGGATCAAATCTAAATTCTGTAGCTGACGACCCGATTGTTCCAGTCAGGCAAATGCACAGACTTGCTCTACAGATTTTAAACCTTCCTGGAGGAAATTTTCTTATTTAGTAACTATTTTGCAAACAAACAACTACTTTTTTTTTTTTTCGTTTTTAATCATTTGACATGCTTTTTTATGATAAATTATCCAAGTCTAGGGGGATAGTTGTGGCGCTGTAAGTTAAGTACTGGACTGCTAACCACAAAGTGGACAGTTCAAACCCACCAGATGCTCCTCAGAAATCCTGCATAGGGTTCGATGAGTTGGAACCGATTTGACAGCACTTTAACAACAACAACAGGGGGATAGCAGAGTCCTGGTGTGGTAATGCAAGACGAAAAGCACAGGTCCAACATATCAGTTTGAATCGCAAGGTTAAGGGTTCAAACTCACCAGTTGCTCCTCAGAAACCCTATACTAGGTCGCTATGGGTCGGAACCAACTCTATGGCACTTAACAACAACAACAAAAGGGGAGCGCGGTGGCTCTGTAGGATAAGCACTAGAAACCGAACCACACACAAAGTTGGCAGTACAAGCCCATTAAGCAGTTCTGCCTGAGAAAGATGAAGCTTTCTGCTCCTGTAACGATGTACAGTCTTGGAATCACTATACAGGATCTCTACTCCACGGCAACAACAGAGGAAAAGGAAATTTATAGAGATTTTCTATCTTTAAGAAACCACCCAGAGTGATTTTACTTTACTCCAATTTTTAGGTATCTGCCTTTCCGCTAGAAACGAGAGTAAAAGGATTCTTTTATGGTGACCTCTAGTGGGCGCAGAGATACCCTACAAAATTATGAAAAGTGAAGGACAAAATACAACTCTTCCCAGTCACCAGCTGGATTAGTTTGTGATCAGATGACCGTATTCCACCCAACCCCACCCTTATTTTTCTTCCCGTATTTGTTTTGCATCTAACATAATTTGCCTTACAACTCACCTGTTTGGCCTCTCCCAGGCACTGTACGGGCTCGGTTGCAGGTGTCGGTATCATGTGGATTGCTGATAACACTTTAAAATAATCCCTTTCAAGGGGTGCCCACTACCTGGTCATCGACCTGAGCCGGGACAGTTCGCTCTATGGAGCCTGAAGGGTTTCTTCATGCTCTGAGGACCAGTGCTGCAGCCAGCTCAAGGGTACATGTGGGAAATCGAGGCATTGTAAGAAGGAAGAAGCAGATAAAGGCAACGAAAAATTCAGTTCTTGATAGTGGCAAGGTGATTCTCCCCAGACTTTCACCACACATTCTGGGAAGAATCAAGAGGGGTCCAGGCGCACTTAACAACGTAGGCGCCTTCTCGGGACGTGCGCTGCAGAAAGCGGGGGCAGGGGCCACAGCTACTGGGGGGACAGGTGGGCGGGAGTCACTAAGTCTAGATGCTGGGGCGTGGGTCCGCCTTCACAGCACACGGTACGTGGGTCTTCTCGCGCGGGAAGAGGAAGAGCAAAAGCAAAGTCGGCAGGAAAAGCTGTGGTTGAGGTGGCTTCTTGGAGAAATCCTTTGGGGCAGTCTCAGAAACCAGTTGGGCTTGGAATAGTTTTTGCAAAAGCTCTACTAATGCAGTCTCCGCCCTCCAGTCATCACCTCACCACCCTCCCAGCTTCCCTTTGGGGTTGTTAAAAGGGCCTGTTTTGGCTCCTCAGGTCATCCCAATGTTCTGGGGCTGGATGCGGGAGCCGGCATCCTGGTCGTGGTGCTTTGCTTGACTCGGAGCTCCCTATTCCTTACATCCCAGCCCCGCGGATCCCTTTGGAGCATAGCGAGAAGAGGGCGTCACCGGGCGGGGAGCCCGAGGTCCAGGGTGGGGCGCGGGGAATCCCAGCCCGAGCTGGCCCTGGATAACCAACGCGGGCGAGACGAGGAGGGAGGCGCGCAGTGGGTGCTGAGCTGAGCCGAGAGGAGGGAGGACCGCGAGGAAGGCCCCGCCCCCGCCATTCGGAACTGGCTTCTTGCTGCCGCCAAACCCGCTCACTTTGCCTCTCGCCTCTGGACGGCTGCAAGAAGGCTGCTGAGCTTCGGCTGGAGGGAGCGCCAGGGACCCGGGAGCATTCGGGCTCCGGTGCATCTTTGCTGCACACGCACCCCTCAGAGGGAACGGCGTCGCCGCCTTGGAGAGGCACCCCAGCCTCGGAGGGGGCATCCCCTGGGCGTGAGGGGCGGTGACGCTGACCCAGCCTCCTTCCCGGCCAGTGGGACGCAGCGCTGGCTCTGGAGGGGACTACTCGGCTACCCACAAGTACCGCCGCGGGAAGGGCACGTTGCTAGTACCGAGGCTGGGCTATTAAGGAGGCTAGAACCCGGAGGAGCGCCTGGACCAGCGCAAGACTAGAGCGAAGCCCCAAGGGAGAGGGAGCCCGACAGCCCACCGGCCCCGACGGCGCACTCTGCGGTCGGCGAACAGCAGGCAGGTCCTTTGCGGTGGTCGGAGGGTGGCTGCGGTGCCCCCGGGCCGAGGGGCCCCGGGGCGACCAGCCATGACCTTTGGGCGCAGCCGGGCGACCTCGGTGGTACTGAACGTGGGCGGCGCCAGGTACTCGCTGGCCCGGGAGCTATTGAAGGACTTTCCGCTGCGCCGCGTAAGCCGGCTGCACGGCTGCCGCTCGGAACGCGACGTGCTCGAGGTGTGCGACGACTATGACCGCGAGCGGAATGAGTACTTCTTCGACAGACACTCAGAGGCCTTCGGCTTTATTCTGCTCTACGTACGCGGCCATGGCAAGCTGCGCTTCGCTCCGCGGATGTGCGAGCTCTCCTTCTACAATGAGATGATCTACTGGGGCCTGGAGGGCGCGCACCTCGAATATTGCTGCCAGCGCCGCCTAGACGATCGCATGTCAGACACCTACACCTTCTATTCCGCTGACGAGCAGGGCGCGCTGGGCCGCGACGAGACGCAACCCGGCGGCGCCGAGGCGGCCCCCTCTAGACGTTGGCTGGAGCGCATGCGGCGGACCTTCGAGGAACCCACGTCTTCGCTGGCCGCGCAAATTCTGGCCAGCGTGTCCGTGGTATTCGTGATCGTGTCTATGGTGGTGCTGTGCGCCAGCACCCTGCCGGACTGGCGCGCTGCGGCCGCCGACAACCGCAGCCTGGATGACCGGAGCAGGTACTCTGCCGGCCTTGGGAGGGAGCCCTCCGGGTAGGACGCACTGCTTCTTTGCCCGTACAGTCCGTCCTGTCGAGTTTGTCCGTCCCGTCTCGTCCTGTCAGCCTTTGGGAGGTCCAATCATACTGGGTTCAAAGCCCTGAGAGGCCCCAGGCGTGTCCAGCTAAGGGATGGGTTGGGCCCTACCTCTGTTCCCATTTTGGACACCCTTCTCTTGTGGGTGAAATCACCAGGCAGGAGGAGTAGAGCGGATACAGATAGACAAATCTCTCATCTTTGTAGTTTACTTTTGAGCAAATAGTATCCGGCTAGTTAGATTTCTCTCAACTTTCATTGCTCTTATTCAACAATTTAACCTTGAGTTTCATATTTGCCTTTTTTTTTTTGGTGGTGTATGAAAAAATGAAGCTTTGTTATGGTGAATATGTAGTCTGTTGTACACTACCCACACATTCTATACTCTCTGCCCAGGGCATAATATGTGCTGTAATAGAGTGTTAACATTATAAAGGAAATTAACTTAGCGATAGACTCTAAATAATGGATATCTGTGCCCTTTGTTTCCTTCTTTTTTGTATGGAGCTAGCAAAACACCTGCCTACTATTTGGTACCAAAGGTTCATACTGTGGATTTCAGAAGGGTCTTATGTATGGGGTGGAGAGAAACACGTATCTTATGAGAGAAGAAACTCTAAAGTGCTCTTAATACAAAAACAGTATTTATGTAGTTTATGTTTTTTTTCTTTTTATTTTACCAATATGAAAGGAAAATATTTTCATCTTTCCTAAGACCGTGTTTGCTTTTCAGTTGTTGTTAAGTGCCATCGAGTTGATTCCGACTCATAGCGACCCTGTACAGAATTTCCAAGGAACAGTTAGTAGTTTGATACCTTATTTCTGGTTTTAGTGCTAGTGAGTTTATCTTACATGTTTTGTGGGAGGAATAAAAAATAAAGTTGGCCTTTCAAGTGCAACAGCTTTTTGAGGGATGAAAACCAAATTGTGTAATTTGTTTTATTTTATCTTTGCTTGATACTGTTTTAAGATTACCCCTCTATTAATTTTATTTTTATTTTTTTATTTTCAAGTTTTTATTGTGATCCATTCATTTTTTAGAAAAATATGTCTTGTGATTTTTTTTTCCTGGTAGGCATGTGCCCATTGGGAATGGCGTTACATGCCCTGATATTGCAGTGAATTACTTCCACACAATATTCTTCCTTTGGGGAGTAAAGATTTTTATGTAACCTAAGAAGTAAATAAAATTGCCTAGTACCACAGAGTCTATTACTGATATGGCATCTTGGAATGAAATCCAAGATATATGCTTTGAAAGGAAATTCATTAGGAAGCTCATTTTGTTTAGTGTTACTAGATTCTAACTAATTTTCAATTTACAGATAAGAATTACTTATTTGGTACTCCAACAGTGCTATAAAATTAATTTATATACCTAAATTTCTAAGTGCTCTTGATTCTTTTAGAGGGTCATGTGAAAATGAACCTTGAAATGATTCAATGGTAATTATAGGATCATAATTATAGTGACAGTTCAAGCTACATTAGTAAATGGAACTGGAGAAGTGAGTGTAGATATTGTGGAGGTTGGCTAAATCAACACAGGCAAAACCAGTGAAATAACCTGAATAATATATATATATATATACATTTTTTGGGGGGGGATGGAAGGGAGTTTTGAGAGAAGAAAAGGCAGGCTGGAGAGAATTAATGCAAAAGCAGTTGGTAAGAAATGAGAGATAGGTGAATAATAATTTTAGGGAAGGAGAGAAAGAGAAGACACCCCCCAAAAGAAGAGAGAGATGGAAAGGAGGGAGACTGCAAAAGAAGGGAGAGAAGAGGATAAGAGCAGTGCTTAATTTGTGTATGTGTATTTTATAAATGTATATAATTATTCAAGTCAAAACTGTTTCCTTAGCTACCCAGATATTTCAGGCAAAATATGCTTTTCTTGGCTTAATGGTCCAGTTTTGAGCTTCATTTTCTGAGTGTAGGTGCATGAAAACCAGACTCTATAATCCCAGAAAGATAAAGGATGGCTAAATGAGCTCTGGTAGCATAGTGGTTACAAATCGGGTTGCTAACCTCAGGTCAGCAGTTCGAAACTACCAGCTGTTCCACGGGAGAACGATGAGGCTTTCTGCTCCCATAAAGATTTACAGCCTCGGAAACCCTTATAGGGTCGCTATGAATTGGAACCAACTCCAAGGCACATAACACCACCACCACCAACAACAAAATGACTAAGGATGACGAGGGAACCTCTTCTCTGGCTCCTTCAACAGAGACGTCCCCCCAAATGGCAATTTGAGTAGTCAGGCTTCTTTCTGGGACAGTCTTTCAAAGAAAGCCTGCCTGCTTCCAGTAGCCAAAATAAGACTTTTTGAGACATCCTTTTGAGTCTTTGACCCTATTTGGCATCTACCAAATAAAGTCAGAACTTCTTATTTGGGCTTCAGGACTCAAGTTTTATCACATCCTGCCTGTCTTAACATTATCTTGTCATCATTTGCAAGCATCTTTTAAGTATTGGCTTTGCTTAAGGCACTGTCGATGTGCCAGTTTAATAAACTCCCCCCCACCACAAATAATAAAGGTATCAAGTTGGTGATGCAGAGGCACAATTGATCACTGAAAATTGAGTTGTTGGAAGGCCTTCAAGGTGGGCAGGGGTGGGAGTGGGACATGTAAACAAGCCATCTGTTTGGTTGCAGAGGTTGTGCACTGCCCAACACTGACATGAATACCATTTATATAAAGTGTAATGTTCTACAACCAATACCCATGCTTGTTGTTGTTAAGTGCCGTCGAGTCGGTTCCGACCCATAGCGACCCTTGTATAGGGTTTCCGAGGAGCAGCTGGTGAGCTTGAACCACCGACCTTGTAGTTCAAACAGCTTTGCAGTTTGGCGCATTAACCCACAGCACCACACCAGGACTCCAATGCGCATGTTTGGTGGGTGGTTATGTGCCAACTCATAGCAACCCTGTACAGGGTTTCCAAGGCTGTAAACCTTTACAGGAGCAGAACGCCTAATCTTTCTCCCAGAGAACAGCTGGTAGTTTTGAACTGCTGACCTTGAGGTTTGCAGCCCGATTCGTAACCACTATGCTACCAGAGCTCCTTAATGCCCATGCTTAATAGTCAGGAAATCAAATGATATGTTGCGTTGGGCAAATCTGCTGCAAAAGATGTCTCTTTGAGGATTAAGTTAAGCCTCATCCAACCTGCAGTATTTTCAGTTGCCTCATATGCATGTGAAAGCTGGACAATGAATAAGGAAGACCAAAGAAGAATTGATGCCTTTATAATAATTGTGAAGAATATTAAATATACCATAGATTGCCAGAAGAACAAAGAAATCTGTGTTGGAAGAAGTACAGCTTGAATGCTCCTTAGATGCAAGGTTGATAAAGCCTTACCTTATGTACTTTGGACATGTTATCAAGAGGGATCAGTTCTAGGAGAAGGACATCATGCTTGGTAAAGTAGAAGGTCAGTGGAAGAGGAAGACCGTCAGTGAGGTGAGTAGCTGCAACAGTGGACTCAAACATAGCAACAATTGTTTGGATGTTTTAGGGCTGAGCATTGTTTCACTGTGTTATACATAGGGTTGTTATGAGTGAGTACTGACTTAATGGTGCCTCACAACAACTATAATGTGCACACATACCTCAGAGACATTGCAGGTTTGGTTCTAGACTACCACAATAAAACTAACAATGCAATAAAGTGAGTCACATGACTTTCTTGGTTTTCTGGTGCCTAGAAAGAAAGTATAGTTTACACTCTACTGTAGTCTATTAAGTGTGTAATAGCACTATGAAAAAAGTTTGAAATATTTGGGAAAATTACAAAATATGACTGAAAAACAAAGGGAGCACATGCTGTCGGAAAAAATGGCACTGATAGTTTTGCTTAAAGCAAAACCTTCAGTTTGTAAAAACACAGCATCTGTGAAATGCAGTAAAGTGAAGTGCAATGATATGAGATATACCTGTACCGCACAACCTGCACTAACACGTGTGGCCCCCTAGGAACAAAATCAGAATTTTCTAGGCAAAAAGCGTGAGCATAGACATGAAATGTATATATTATATTTTTGGAATCCAGTGATGGAGTGAGAGCTGCATTAGGGAACAGAGGGTGGAAGGCATTGAAGGGCAGAGAGATGATTTTATTTTGTAGGCAATGGTTAGTCATTGGTGGTTTTATAAGTGTAGGGATAGATGGGTTATACATTTAAGGAAATGAATGTGGTAAGATGTGCACCATGAATTGGTGATGAGGAGAGATTGGAAACAGAAAGAGATATTTGCAGATGAAGAGAGCAGATCTTGGATTACTTTGAGGGAGGAATGAGAATTAAGAAGAAATGGCAACTCTAGGAGCATCCAGGGTATTGATACAGGTATCAGGAACTGATGAAGTAGATTCCCAGGAGTTGGGAGAATTGCCCACCACCTGCAGGTTCCACTTGCCCCAACTGGCTTGCTCACTTATTCTCGAGCCCTCTGAACATCCCTTATTGTAAAATCCTTTGCCTTTTCTTGAAATTGTATCATTTGTCAAAACCACCTCAGATTCTGTTTCTATTCCCCCAAGGCTTTAATGATTAGCCTACTAGATGTGATGTTTTTACTGAATTTCCTGTGAAATTGTTTATTTGTACTACATATTTGGATTCTATAACACCCTGCCTAGTATGGTAGCTATTTTCTTCAGATATACATGCCCTAGCGTCTAAACTAGATTTAGATGAAAAACTGCAGAAGGCAGATAAATTGTCTTATCTGATTTACTAGTACAATGTTTTATTTTAAAAAACAACAACAGCATTTCATTGTTTTAGGTGAAAATTTCCAAAGGAAACTAGGTTCCTCTTTAGCAATTTTTCACACAGATTTTTCCATGCCAGGGTTACATTTTTTATATGTCAGCATTATCATTGTTTCTTTTCTGTTTGTTCTGATTCCATTGATCTGGATTGCCTTCCACTCCTTGCCTTCTCTTT